TTCAATTGGAAAAAAAAAAAAAAAAAAAAAACACTTATCCCTTTATTAAACGTAACGATAGATTTTATTCGATCGAATTATCAGATATTTTAATTTCAGATTAATACTCGCAATCGTAAACGTGTTGAAGGTTTTTAAAGGGAAAATAAATTGGTAAAAAGGAACAAACAACGAAGGTTCATCGTCTTGATAACCATTATTTCGATGTAATCCAGTTTGAAAAATATAATCGATCGATATACCAGCAATATAACTTAATCGTTTCATCTATCGTAACGTTTACACCACGATTTCGAAATAGAAACATGGAACATCATCGTGCAGGATAATGCAACGATTCTGCTTATATTATTATTATTATTATTATTATACAATTTTTGAAGAGAACCTCCGCAAAGGAAATGGTTTATTTGCTCGTTACGAATAATGAGCCCTTTATATCGTTAGTCCCGCAGAAACGTGCAATTCCGAGCCTCACTGTGCCACGTCCACAATTCGAAAAGCGTAGATTGTTATTATCGAGGCAAGAGTTTGCCATCCATACCGAGTAACGATGGCGGAACGGTAGAAGTAGCTCGATTCTATTCGATTTTATTCTACGAAAATTATGATCTACTATAATGCACGCGTCCTGACTACTGGGTCAGGAAGTCGTGTTACATCACAATAGTTCCAAATAAATCTTGCAAAGAATTGTAAGAACGTTTTATTCTTTTTTTTTTTTTTTTTTTTTTTGGAACAGGAGGAGAAAATTATTGATTTGCAAGGAAATATATATTCAATCGAAATGGGAAATTTTTTAAAATATCTTATATATTGTGATAAATATTTGTGAATAATTCAGTATCGAAGTTCATCAAGTTTTATTCTTTTTTTTTTTTTTTGGAACAGGAAGAGAAAAATTTATTGATTTGCAAGGAAATATATATTTAATTGAATTGAAATGGGAAATTTTTTAAAATATCTTCTATATTGTGATAAATATTTGTGAATAATTCAACATCGAATTTTTCATGAAATTCTCTTCATTTTTTTTTCTCAAAATTAGAGATTTTGAGAAGAAATTGCAAAATTTGTAAGAATGTTTTATTCTTCTGTTCTTCTTTTTGGAAAAAGATGAGAGTGCAAAAATCTTCTGACTTACAAGGAAACATATGCAATCGAATTGAAATCGAAAATTTTTTAAAATATCTTAATTCGTTTTTATATTGACTATTAAGTGTTCTTCGAATTATTAATCGTGATGAATATCTATGAATAATTCAACATCGAAATTCATGAAATTCTCTTCACTTTTTCTTCTTAATTAGAGATTTTGCAAGAAGTTGCAAAACTTGTAAGAATGTTTCATTCTTCTGTTCTTCTTTTTGGAACAGGATGAGAGTGCAAAAATCTTCTGTCACTTTTGACTTACAAGGAAACATATCCAATTAAACTGAAATCGAAAATTTTTTAAAATATCTTAATTTCTATATTAAATGTTCTTCAAATTATTATAATATTATAAATATTATAAATATCTGTGAGCAATTCAACATCGAAATTCTTGAAATTCTCTTCATTTTTCAATTAAAAAATTCTTATTTTTTTTGAAACATGCAAAAATCTCTTAATTAAAATAAAAGGAAACATATCCAATCGACAATCAAACTGAAAAATTTTTTAAAATATCTTAATTTTCTATAATATACAATATATGATATATAATTTTCAAAAATATCTCAATTTTTTAAAATATTTTAATTTTCTAATAATATATGATATATAATTTTCTAAAATATCTCAATTCGTTTT